CATTAAGAACAATCCTGGTAGCTATGAGTGAATGAAGAACACTGCTATTTGTTATATTTACGGAGCGCTTGAATTCATCGGCAAATTGCCATTTAGTTCCAACATAATCATTACTTTATCTTTCCGATTTTTACAAAAAAAAGCTTAACATCGAGCATAGCGAAGGGGAAAGAGTTTTATATGTTTTACTGCAAATCCTCGAGGAATACGGATGCGATCATGACAAAGTCGTGCAAGATACGTTCGGGGTACTTGTGATGTTTTCCCCGACGGCGTCGACAATGCCCATATATTGACTATGTCGCGATCGCAACTTGTATAACCCGAAATCAGTGGTATTCGAGCGAAATCGATTATTGAAATTGAGTCACCTGAGTCGCACTCAAGCGAAGCAGAAACGACCCAGGCTCTCTCTATCACATACACTTCCATGCATGGACGACGTGGCCTTTGGGTAATCAATGGTGCTCAAAAAAAGAAAAAAGCCGAAGAGGTCAGCTAGAATTTCTGCATTTCCAAATTTTACCAACATAAGTCTAGCCTTTATATTCAATCATACTGAAATTCTCACGCATTGCGACCTGATTTATTGCATTTCTTACAATATTTTTGTGATGTCTCGTTTATGTCCCCGTCAATATTGGAGATTACTTGCTATGCTTTTGTAATTATCATTATGGATATTAATCCTATTTTAGGGATTTTCAGACTACTCACATGTCATCATCATCGGGAGGGGTTGTCCCCGGCGACGTGACTGCTCCGAATCCACTTCATAACACCAGCAAATATAAAGTATATGTACAAGCCGTAGACAGAGCTCTAAAGACATTTGAGAATCCCAATGAATGGGCGGACCTAATATCAGCTCTTGCTAAGTTGACTAAGGTATGTATATATCTCTATTTTTGCTATTAGAGTTTCTACAAATCTTTTTTTAAACTTTTTTTTTCAAATTTCGTTTCGCACTTCACTTTTGTTTTTAAAGGCGACCTTGTAACATCTCCTCGTAGTGAGTGATACTTTCCGAACCAACTTGGTATAATATGAGCTTATCGGCGGGGGGATTTTTTTCTAATAATCGAATCATTCGAAGTACTGCTTTCATATCGCCGTAGGAAGAACCCGGAAAGACAGAGGTTAGAACCACAAACTTAACAATGTATTTTTGCTTAGTAAAGCGGAGTTTTGCGTCGTACCTCTTACCGCTTCTTTGCTGTGGGCAGATTTGCCCAGAGCCTCATTTCTACGAAGTTTAAACATAACTATAATAACATTAGCTTTAACAAGCGATTGCAAAAAGTCCCCTCCCTTTAGTCTGGAAAATGTTGTTGTATTAGAAAATCTACATAAGCGCATCGGCTGTTCAGTATGCATATCTTTTCATTTTGTTGCATTTTAATCGATCGTTTTAGTCTGGGGCCTGAATCCTACGGCTTATCAAGGTACCCACAATTAGGTCTGCGAAAATGCTCTGTTGTACATAGCGTGATCAGAAATGGAAATGAAATGAAAAGAATGACTA